AAAAGAAGTCTTATTTCATGATAACAGATACAATCGCATTGCGTTCCATATGGCAAAAATAGAATGCCAAATACAACGTTTCGACCGCGCGGTCGAAAACAAAAATCCAATATCGAATAACTTAAAGCCGATGCAAATTCGTGAAAAATCTATTATAATCTGCATCGCACACCGCCGGACGCCCTTTTCATTCGGTGCCTTTTGTTGGCGGATTCAATTAAGTTTACATCGGCGCCGAGGTCAGTTAATAAAAACCGAAGCCTACAAAAATTGGCGCGTAAATCAAATTCAATAAAGCGCGGCACAATGGCACGGCGCGGGAAAAGGGGAAATGACGCCGTCAAACAATGACTGCCCGCCAAGCGGACCAATCAACTTTATATTACACGCGAGTCGCCGCTTCACGCTCTTCCTGATGCAACCGTTAAATAAAACCTGATATTTTTTTAACAACCGACTTGCACTTGACTATTAAACAGACCGTCAGCCGTGAGGTAGCTTAACGCATTAGTTCCCTAATGTTACTCTTGGTATTAATCATAAATATAATATTAAATATGAATCTTCTTCTTCGGCGTTTGTTCGCCCACCGCTGGGCATACGCCTCTCCAATTTTCTTCCATTCAGCTTGGCTCTTTGTTTCTCTTGTCCAGACTGGGCCTGCTATCCTTCATCTGACCATCATCGGGTGGTCTGCCCACACTTCTCATACCTAGCCGGGGTCTCGACTCCGAAACGCGCTTACTCCAATGTTCGTGTTTTTTTTCGGCACATATGTCCGGCCCAAGCCCACTTTTACTCGGTGGCCCACGACGACCACTTTCGTGCGCCGTAATTAGCTCGTTCCAGACTCGGTCGTGCAACGTTATTTTATTTTATTTATAATTTGAGGGAAACTTACAGCTAGCACATACTGATACAAACATACACATACTGATACACATAAAAAAAAGGAATAATTCGAAAACTGACGGTAGCCCGGGTTAACTATGACAATCAGACGTCTAACACCGAAGTCTGTCCCGTGACCATGCACGCTGTAAAGGGTTCGAAACGTCGAGAATTAAAATTAAAAATAACCGCGAGAAATCCGTAAAATTAGTTTCATTTATATTTAGCCATAAGTAAAGTATTGGATAATAAATACAGAAGGCCAATTAAAAGATTCCACAATTAGTTAAATATTAAAGAATGTAACGCGTACAAAGAAGTATAACGGACATAGCGTGTAAAATTATCATAAAATTTACAAAAATGTATTTACGTAGACACATTTAAAAAAAAAAGGCGTTGCTAAGCAATTTTTTCATCTGATAGGACCGCGTTAAAACATCTGCTTGCTCGAATAAAGAAGAAATTCTGCCTGTAATTCGTTCTAGCTGATGGTACGTGTAAAACGTGTGTTGGAACTCTTAAACTTACGTCATCTTATAACTGTTGACTATAAGCAATGTCTGCTATTCGCCTTCTATATTATAGTGGAAAAAAGTGAAAAGTTTGACTCCGTTTAGTGTAGTCTGAAATAAAAGATTTATATCGCACGCTCCATGTTGCGCTGCGTCCCCTTAAGCTTGTAGATGCACCTAGCAGTCAGTGTCCATGTTTTCGCACCCATATGTCATAGCCGGAAGAACGCATTGGTTAAACACTTTTGTTTTATATGATTGAGGAATTTTGTACCTAAGCACGCAATTCAGTTTCACGAAGGCTGCTCATCCCAACATTATCCTTCGCCTCATCTCTGCCATCATCGATTCCCGACCAAGCCTTATTACCTGCCCTAGGTAAGTGTACTCCTAAACCTGCTCCAGTGGTTTCCCGTTCAATAAAATGGCGTTCGGTGTAAGATCGGCTATCGCCATAACCTATGTCGTCTCCATATTCATCTTAAGACCTATTTGCAGGGACGCGTGATATAGTTGCTCCAGCATGTGTTGCAGGTGTTCAGCATGTTCAGAAATTAATAATATATCATCAGCGTAGCGCAGGTGACTGAGATATTTTCCATTGCCATTGTTGTTCAATGTTCAATGTCTTGAATATGTCCTCCATGACGTTGGTAAACAGCTTCGGGGATATAATGTCTCCTTGTCAGACTCCTCTTTGGACTTGTATAAGATCTGTTGGCTCTTTCAGCTTTACGATCATTGTCGCCGACTTGTACAAGCCCTTTAGGAGATGTACAAATCGGTAGTCTATGTGACATCGATGAAGCGAATCGGTAACTACCCAGTGTTCTATGCAGTCGAACGCTTTTCCTTAATCAACGTAGGCAAGACAAAGAGGTCCTTTGTATTCTTGGCACTTTTCGATGATCTGTCGAAGTCTAAATCCTGCCTATTCTTTGCGTTGATGTACGATTTACTACTACAATAGTAAATAAAATATAACATGAAGTTAGTTATCCATGCAAACGTTTCGTCGAACTCACCAAAGACTGCAACATAATAAAGGTATCGATCGTTTCGATACGTAAAGACAGCCCTATAGCGTAAGTCACCCTTTAACATTAGGAATTCCCGTCCACCTTTCCACGTCTCCGAATTAATCGCCCGAGAGCCTCCGTCTATTAAAGTTTCTTCACAAGTTGTTTAAGAGGCTCAACTCGCTTTAAACTCTACAGATAATGTTAAACATTCATTTAAGTGCGCGGGCACCACCCAACTTTCCAATTGTCGTATAAATCTCCTAATTCTTCGAGCGTTTAATATTCATATCACCTTCGTTCTTCCTCGTTTTAAGTAGCTGGAACCGTAAAAACTTACCTAAGAATGAAAATCGCTCCTATTACAACTGAATAGAGTTAATAACGACTTCAAAGTCGATGTTTTGGAACGGCCCTACGAGAGGCATTTAGTTTTATATAATTCAAATTTTGACATTATTGTTTTGGTAAAGAACATAAAATAAAATTTATTACATTCATATCATAATTACTTATTGAAAATGAAATACCCGCTTAAATTTTAGCTTTGTTATAATATTTTTAAGTTATACTAATTCTTATGGTGTGTTTGGAAAAAAATATGTATGTTTTTATCACTTATTCTTAGATTTATTTATTTATTTCGTATTTTGAAAACGTATTTTGGCAATATGCTGTAAGTGTTACCAATAAAACCAGTAAGCCAATTAATTACAATTTAGCCTTTATATCTGTTGCGATGTCTTTGTAATGAAAATATTAAAATTGTACTCGCTAATGGCGCTATTGTTACATTCGCAGTAAGTTTCAAAATTACAGTCAAGCCCATAAAAATTTCACGAAACGATTCAAGATACAAGCTTAAGCAGTCTTACAGGTTGCTCTTATGTGAATCTTATTGCATTCTCTTTGCATGTTTTTTTTTAATAAAGAACTACCGTCGTTTCGCCTAGGAAATTTTAGTGATGAACGTTAAGTACACCCAGACCCGAACCAACTTTTGTGGTTTCCCCACATTTTTGTCCAGTAAGAGATTAGACCCAAAACACGGCGTGCAGTCGCAGGGAGTGCCGTTAGAGACCTCGATCTGAATTGATATTAATTGTCTTTTACGATGAACTAAATACTTTTTTTGGTAAGAAGATGGCAAACGAGTTGGTGGTTCGAATGACCGGCGGCGGTTATCACTTAACAGCAGACACCTTGATTTTCGATTTGCAACATCCTTACCCTACGTGGGCCCTGGCTGTATCGCTCACCGGATGAAACACAGAATCATAACTTTCTTTTTTTTTTTCTTATGGGAAAAGGAGGCAAACGAGCATGCGGGTCACCTGATGATAAGCGATCCCCGCCGCCCATGGACATTTGGAACATCGATTGAGTCGCAATTGCGTTAGCGTTCTTCCACTTCACGCTGGTATCGTGTGAGGTAAAAATCAAAAAATTAAATGTGAAGTAAATAATAAGAACATTTTTTGTACATTTGTTTTGTAACTTTGTTTTCACTTATACTCTGTGTACAATAAAGAATAAAAAAGAAAAAAAGAAAAAAGGAACAAAATAAATCAAACGAATACTTTTACTTCTTTATTTACCGTAATACATGAGACTGTCCAATTTATTCGTAAACAAAGGGAAATTGCCTAGAGCGTTAAACAATTGCTGGATGCGGCCAAACACGTAGTACATTCATTCGAATCGTTACAGCGCCACCGTTATTCTTTGATACCGGCTACTCCACACAGATGATACCAATAAGAGGGCTATAGGGAAATAGAAGACACCGCTAGAGTTCCCTATAAACTGGACCAGTAAACCAGCTATCTTCCCATTTATGGTCACAATTTTACAATGTCTAAAGTTTTCTAGCAGTGCTGAAACTTTGTCAGAAATCATCTTACATTCTCCGCTGTCTTTAGCATATTTTTCAAAAGGCGATGTCGCTCCGAGCGTATTAATACGCGTTCTTTAACACCCCCTTACATGAATAATTAGATGTTTCCCGAATTTATCACTCTTAGTTATCTCTGAGACACGGATTTTAAATTTGCAAACTCATTCTTCGCGCTTTATTGAGGATAATACATCTTAGCCGGGATGCGATTCTGATTAATGCCTCCAAGTGGAAACGTCGTAACTTTTTTAGAGATAACGAAAAAAAATAAATAAAGGGACGTGACTTTCCTGAATTCTCTCCGTCAAGAGTTGAAGACTTAAATAAGGTTGAATATATTTACGAATAATCACCCATCATCCTTCTTCTACTGGCCAGTCCGATGGTTGTTTAAAACTATTTCATTCTTCTTTTGAACAGTGTTGTCAGAAGAATTTATGGCAAACGTCATACCATTACTCCTGTTAATAATTGAAGTAGTTAAAATATGAAAATTTATGTTATATTTGCCGTTTTCTCTGGTCAGTTCACGTAAAGTTAATCTACATTTGATTTTAAGCTATATCAGTAGGACCCTAAACACATGCATCTATACTCTTAATTTGTATTATTTCAGTATCATTAATTGGCGCTGCAGCTGAACCGGACAATGAAGTCAAAAGGGGAATCTTTCCCTTTATGGTACGTTGTAATTTTTATTAAGTAACAATTTCTTCACTAAACAGTTACGGTCCGTTGAATGATTCAAAGGTATTTTTACAAATGTCAAAATAACATCAGTACCTTCATTTGAATTTGAACCTAAAAACTGTTTTGGAAAGTGTTCAAATCATTACTTACAGTTGTTGATTTGTTCTTATATATTAAATGGATACCTTGTGTGTTGTTTTACTATTCGGAACAATTTAGTAATTGTTATTTTGAAATACCTAGAGACCTGAACCTTAGACATAGGCTCTCAGCTGTATAAAGTAAAAAATTTGGATGTTTTTCAATACATAATTTACGATTTTAATTCTTATTTCACCTCAATTGATTTTCCTAAGGATTTTTTTCCTTTGCATTTACAAATCAAAATCGCCGAAAACTTAGTAAATGGAATTTTTTGCGAGACGAATGCCTTTTACGTACTTTGCCAAAAGCGCTACTACTAAATCAAACTGGTTCAAAGCAGTGAACGCCCGACCTATTTAGAAAAACGTTTATTTTCCTTTTTTTATGTCACTGACTATTTACCGATATCTCGTTAACATCAGGAGGTTTTTTTATTTATAAACTCCTTTATTCCGACAGGGCTTCTTATTCTACCAAGATGCATCAGTAGTTCAGGAGTCGGGCGATCGGTTCATGCGCGCCGCCGTTCTAATTCGGCCGAACTGGCTGGTATCTGCTTCAATTGAGCGCAACGACACTGCACTGGCCTTCCCCCAGAAAACGCTGCTCGCTAGATTTGGCGGCGTGGCCATCGACGCCAACTTCACCTTTAACGAGGACGAGGAGGAGCAGGAACGGGAGGTATGTATTTCAATCGAGATCTTGTATTGTGTCGAGAATTACCAACAGACTTGTACTGTGGGAATCGAACCCGAAAACCTGATGACAAACAAGTCCATTTTTTAATTAACGAAAAACCGACTTAAAATGTCTCGCTCTGTATTCATTTTATAATTGATTTTTACGAGTTCCCTAAGTATCTCCGGACCCCAAGAACAGCAAGCAATGAAATTAATATGGGACCACATGGGAGCACCAGCTTTCAAATATAAAAGAATCATCAAAATTTGTTCACTCAGTCGAAAGTTCTGAGGTAACTGGCCGGTTGACTGCCAGTCATCTTCAATTAAAATAAACTACTGACGAGACTTGAGTTATGACAGTTTTTAGTTGACTTGTGTATGTATGTTATAGATTTCTTTATTTCTTTTTTTTTTTTTTAAACATTGTCCTTACGGTAGGATAACATTATCCTGTGTTGTAAGGCCGTTTTACACACATAAATTTCACGTGGCCAAACACCCAGATCCGAATCATTATCAGTTGGTCACACAAAAAGTTGTCCCGTGTGGGGATCAAACCACGGCTCTCGAAGACCCACAGAGAAGAGACACAGCAACTGCGCCACGGAGTCAGTTTAAGGAGTTCCCTGAGTTATCTAAGGAGTCGATCCGGAGATAACTCCGGAGCGGTCGAATTCCAACGAAATTATTATGAGCCTACATGGGAGATAAACTGAACCTAATGGAAAAGAATCTCTATAATTGGATCCAAATTACTCAGTTCTGAGATAACAAACATAAAAAAATACAGTCGAATTGAGAACTCCTCCTTTTTCTAAATCGGATGAAAATGGACTTGTTAATGATATCATTGTGGATACAACTTCAATAGCAAATTTGAAAAAGAGCAACGCGACAACTTCCGCTACTGTCACCCTGTACGAGGTAGTGGAAGAAATACAAAGGAATTTTTATTTGGTCCGCTACTTCGTATTTACTTTTTTGCTTTGTCTGCTTCATTCGGTGAATAGAAAGTGAATAACCCTAAAAAGATCTGCAATGCAGCGGATGTCTATGGATGGCGGTGACTGCCTCCTTTGTAAAACTTTTATACGGAACACTGTTTTGTATCTTGGTTTGCTACAGAACAAGTTGAAAGCCTGTCTATGTCTTGTGCTATCCACCTGAGCGTCGAGGGCCGTTTTGCCGCGGGATCGAAGTCCTCGGTTTCTGAATCACTGATCATCATAGATGTTAACTAAACATCTGTCAAATGGCTTTTCAAATTTTATTTGAGTAGCCGAAATAATGGTTAAGCTCTTCGAATGATCATTGCGATCATTAAGATCCTTCTTATCAATTTAGAGAGTTTAATCATCCTTTTGGCAACTCAAATAACATTTGCCAGCTGATTAGTTGACTTCTACAATGATCAGTGTCTCAGAAACCGGGCGTTAGAGTACAAAAATCAATACAAAATATTGTAAAAATACTTTAGTGTCAGTATCCACTTTCGAACCAATTGACGTGTTTAAACTTTCATTTTTAATGTTAGACCTCAATTCAATCTCCTTTCAATTAGTAAGACATCATTACTAAGACTCCGCTGTCTATCTGTCTGTCTATCTGTCTATATGTCTGTCCGTTTGTCACCAGGCTGTATCTCATGAACCATGATAGTAAAACAGTTTAAATTTTCACAGATTATGTATTTCTGTTACCGCTATAACAAAAGTACTAAAATACAATAAAAAATATTTACGGGACGCCCCCATACAACAGACACGATTTATCTGGCGTATTTATAGATAAATAAAATATTTATGGATGATAATATTCGAGAATTCGATGTTATTGTTATCAATGTATGTATATGTTATCAATGTACAACTCATTATATGTGTCTTAGCCAGTAATAAGAACAAACACGAAAGGGAACGCTAGCGCCGTCTAACATCGTCATATTTGCCTATTAGAATAAAAAAAATTCCTTGATTTTTCATCTCTAGGTCATTCAAATTGTTCGTCCCTACAACTTCACTGCGACGGAATGGTGGTTTTACGACATCACTCTCCTGAAAACTTTACTCCCTTTCAACATTACCTCCGCGGTAGCGCCGATAGCGCCGCATTACAAGCGAGATGCAAACGTCAGGAGTTGCAAGATTCTTATTTATTCGGTGAGTACTTTTATTCTGAACTGTGTAATTTAGAATTCAATTTTGTATCTAGTCTATAGTCACAAAGTTAAAAGCCACGTAGCAGCTTTTGTTGCATTTATTTGTTCACCTCTAATTTGCCTTACCTTATTTTTTACAATCATACTCCTTTTGTTATCTTTTCATCCCATATTTTTTGAGATAGTAATACGTGAGCGCAACATACACGCAAACTTAGAAGTTATGTAAACACTTTCCATTGTATCGTTGGAAAACCAAAATAAATAAATTTACTTTGATTTTTCTTCACCAGAACTCTGACTCTTTTACCAATACATTTCGTTTACGATTCATCTTATATTTTATCTACGTTTAATTTAAATGTCACTGATTTTTCGATTTTAAAGGTACGAATAACATTTTTTCAATTTAACATTAAAATTTTGTATTAATTACATTATTCCAATAAACTATCTTTAGTTTCTCTCAAAAACTTAGTATCGTGGTCATCATAAAATTCGAATTATGTTTCCATAGCTCGTGTGTCATTACTCCTGTCCTTAGAGTGACGCTACATGATATTTGGTTTGTAGAGGCGATCTTACAACGAGTCGGATGAGATTCTAATGCAGCTCTCTGTCGAATTGCTCACGCCGTCCACTGACTGCGGCATTCACTTCCAATCGGAGACAATGATTTGCGGCGCGGACAGCGAGGACAACAAAAACTTCAACTATGAAACGGATTACTGTCAGGTGATTATAATTTTTCTATTATTTTCAGTTTCTCTAAATTTTCCACTTTCTGTCAGGTAGTACATATATAAAATAAGATATTTTTGGGCCGACTTCAACTAAAAATTAGTAGTAATATATCATTTATCATTTATCTATAATTTTAATATTTAAATTTTAAAATTGAAATTACAATAATATATACATTATTCTACTATACGTGTGCATGTCACTGAACTCCTCCTAAACGGCTGGACCGATTTTAATGAAATTTTTGTGTCTTCAGGTCGCTTCGAGAATGGATTAGATTCTCAATTCTATTCACTACAATTTTTTATTTTTTTATAAGTTGTCGAATTTAAGTAGTGTATACAGGACAACGTCTGCCCGGTCCGCTAGTAATACAATTAATTACACTATTATATTACTAACAAAAAATATAAGCAGTCTTAGAATGTTTGGAAATGGTTTTGGTTTTTCACAGCACTGTGAATTTATGAACCGAATTTCTTTAAAAAAAACAAAATAACAACAAATTTCCATTCGAACTCACGGTTGGATGGTTCAAATTCAAATGATGGATAAGTCGAAGTTTAAACTAAGATAGTTACTATAATAATAATAATAAATATTTTAGGACACATTTTTACCCAAAATTCTCTAGTCCCAAACTAAGCAAAGCTATGGGTACTAGAAAACTGATAACTTAAATAAATACATATTATACATATATAAACACCCAGACACTAGAAAAACACTATGTTCATCACACACTATTGTTCCAGTAGTGGGGATCGAACCCACACCCTCTGGCGCAGGAGGCAGGTATACTACCCACTACGCCATTCGGGTCGTCAAATTTTATTTTATTCCTATAAATAAATCAATCACCAATGTAATAAGATAGCGCTTACGTTTATTTATGTGTATTTTCCACGCGATAATTTGCGTACTTATATTTGCAGAGCCATTTCCAAGAAATAATTAGTAGCTGGAAGGGATAAGATCGTAAGAAGATAGAGATCAATTTTCAAGTACATCTGTTGAGTACAAGGCGTACTTGAAGAATTTTTCAAACAATGCAATGTTTTACACAGCAAAATTATTTTCTAAACAACATTCTGTTTAAGCTCAAATTTAAAATAATAATTAATTGCTAGAATTGATGTTTCACTTTACTAAACGTTACAGAGGTACTATCTCTGGTGACATCACTACCAAGATTAAACGCAGAGGCATAAATAGTTCTACTTCACGAAGATTTCTGTAAATTATTGACACTTTTAGTCGCACCAGGTCATTCAAGCAACAGAAGCTGAATCCAGTTAGTCACATGATCACAGCCTATTTCTTTTATGTTAACAACCTTAAGGGTAACAGCGGAGGGCCGCTGCTCTGCGAGGGTGAAGTGACTGCACTGCAGACTTACGTCAATGGCGAATGCAAGCAGCCGCATCTGTTTCAACTGCTAGCCGCGTGGGAGAAGTTCATCGAGTGCGGCGTCGAAGAGCGCTGCCTCGACGGCGAATGCAACGGGACGTGTACAACGCTAAACAAGGACACGCCCATAAACGAAATCGTCGTGCAGACCACAATCAACACCACAGCCACCTCGACACCAGAGCGTGACACCGTGTATTCTGAGGGCACAGAGCAGCAGACGGCCACTGGCGCCCCCGAAACTGAGAAAGCCAGCGAGGATGGCGACGACTCGACTCCACCCACGTTGACTGCCACATCACCCGACTCGACCACCACTCCGGCCGTAGAGACAACGGAGACCACGCTGCTGAGCAGATTGGACGAAGAACAAACGACCACGTGGCCGTCCAGCAAAGTCAGCGAGGATGCCAGAGGTTTCGATCGATCCGATGATGCAGAGAATGTTGACAGACATGCAAACGTCGAAGCCCAACAGCAGATGGTTATGACGAAAACGCGAGGCGATGCGGACGTGGTACATTTGTCCCGAAGTCTTGTCTGCCTTTTAGTTTCTCTTGCCTCAGTTACTCTACTTTACTGTTAGTGGGCTGTCTACAGTTTTTCGATTATGTATTCTCAATTTAATATAAATTTGTGCACATTTTTTTGTCTCTTATTACAATGCATTGCTGTTGAAATTATTGCTGGATATACTCTTCTTATTGTTTTATTTTTAACATATTTTATTAAGTTTCTACTATTTAAAGTAATTTAACCTTAATTATTAGAATTGATTTTTAATTCCAAAAAAAGCAATTATATTTTGTTATATGGAAATTGTATGTATAATACATTTTGTAACTTATTCATTTAAATTTGCACTAAAGATTGCAATCCGATTTGCACAAATCACTGTTTTACGTTTAGCACTATATATTTATTTTCAAGTATATAATTCCACAACTTGCATCTTTGAGTAGTTTCAAAAGTTGTAATTTGTATATAATTAAGTAGAAAAAAATAAGCAGAAGCTAAGCTAGCATTATTAACAATTATCTATTCGCCAGTAAAACACGAGAAACTGAACGATTCCGTATTGTAGATATTATGACAAAACGAACAGTTTTCGTTAGACGAAGCTTAGTCTTGATAAAAAAAGGATAATTTTGTAATTTTTTATTAAAATTATTTTGGCGCCTCTCGATTATCACGCCACCCATTGATGTTATCATATATCAATAACAATTTACAAAAAAAAACGAAATACTTGTTGCCGTATTTACCTCATCTATAATTTCTAAGAAAACCATTCAGGCTTTAAAGGGTACTAAAAGATGTGGGGGCGGCAGCGCTGGCTCCGTCAAAGTTTCACGAATAAGTAGAATTAAGTAAGGTTGCAAGCTTAACGCCTCGGCAGTTTGCTCTAATAGCATTAACAAGTTTCCAGACCGTATTGGGGGAACACTTGGCTCATAATGTTTTTTTATTCACCATAAGCAGCTACGGCTTGTATCGATGTACTGCTAATATATAATAAAGAATAACGAACGTCTTGTCTCTCAAGTTTCGCAAAATTAAGATTGCCCGAAAAGGATATTACGAATAACCAGTAATGGAGACGTCACTAGAATTCGTACATTTGTATAGTCTTAATTTCTACTCGATACATTTAATGCCAATTAAGTTTATTGAACTCTGAGTGCGGCCGTTAGTCCGTCAGTGAGGTGCGTACAGTCACACAAACATCCTTCGTTAGCATCGTCGGTCGTGATTATCTATTATTAATATCAAAAAATCACTTGTGCGTGGAAAGAATGAGCAGAGAAGCCTAATGAAAATATGTAAAATGATGGTTTGAGACAGAGTGGGGAATCGACATTAACATTTTCAGCGAACTTATATCGACCAGCTTAGCTACACTTGCTATTAAGGGACGGCTGCCTATGACCACCAGTAATCTACATGTGTGCATACATCAATGCATATGTATTACACGATTACTAAAAGTTAAAATCTGTAAAGTATCAGCTTATACATGTCCCACTGCTGGGCAAAGGCCTCCTCTGTACAGAAGGTGTTAAGGCATAGTCCACCACGCGGCCCATTGGCGGACTACACATATCTTCGAAATATTTTTTTTTGTTATTATTTCGAAAATATGCAGGTTTCCTCACGATGTTTTCCTTCACCTCTGAGCACGTGATAATTCGGCACTTAAAATTAAAAATTTCATTGGTGCCGACTCCGGGGATCGAACTCAGGTCGCCCGGACACTAAGCTATGACGGCTCAAAAATCTGAAATCTGTAATGCCCTCTTAATTACGATAACTCTTTTTGTATGAGTTTATACCGATTATAATATTATCTCGAGGAAACAACCTTTGTGTAAATATCTTTCACTCGATAGTTAATTACAACCGTTTCAACTTTGAAGACATCAATCACATCCTTCGACTAAATATTCATCCGAAATTATTATCGAAACTATTTTTATTAAATGAAACTAGTTTACGAATTTTATCGCGTTCTTTGCCCGTGACGGGTTCGAAACGTCAGGAAATAGAAAAGACAAAATTAAAACGCTATAAGATCCGTAAAATAGCTTCATTTAATATTTATAAAATAAGAAATTAATATAAAATCAAGAAATTAATACGAAACTACGTAGTCAAACTTTATTAACATTTAGCGAATGCGTCTGAAACTTTTTGAATGCACTTTCAAATCCCTCATTTCCATCAGTTAGGACTTAACGTATTTAAATAAACTCGAATATCTTCTCTATCGACTCCTATGTACGTGTTCCTCTTTCCACCGTATCATTTATACAGTCACAGTTCCGCGGTAACATATTCCACGAACCACTACAAACCAAATGTATTCTAGTGTTCCTGAAGTGAATTTTCTTTTCCAACTTCCGAAATGCAGCGGAATTGAAATGTATCTTAATACGACTCGATGTGTTTAAATTCTAAAAGGGGATCGCATCGGAAAACTGTTATGCATATTTTAAAGTTAAATTTACTTACAGCGGACTCACATCCGAATGAGAATTCAACGGGAATATCTTTGCGAACTTTAAAATGTTTTATGATATCCAACTTACGTGATAATATCGGTATGAGAATGAAATTTCAAAAATACTACATAAATGTATGTCAGTCGCAATAAAGTATTATCATTTAATATACGAATCTAAGAAATTACTTCAATTTTATTGTCATAGGATACAGAGCGCCTAAAATAAACTTAATAGCAACAACGCCCGATGTATAATTTGCATTGCAAAGATAACGAATGAGAAAAACAAAGTTGTTGATTAAGTCGGCACTTTATAAAAGTAAGTAATTAACGCGTAATGTCATGAGTTAGGAAACAAAAGGGATTAATCCGACAATGCCATAAAAAGAAATAACCAGTTCATAAAAGTCTTAATAATTAAAACTCAAATAAAACTGGCAGCCCTAAGGGCTCGTGACAAATTTAGGCTGAGACCCCTCACTCCCCTCTTAGGTCCAATTTGTAAAGACAAACGCCTAACGCAACGTCCTTTTGGAGGTCTCACCTAATTGGATTTTGCTCAGGAGTCATTTTTAAAGATAAATCCCTTGCCGAGGGTAAATAATAGAGAACTGTCGTTATTTCATTTTGACTGAATATAAAAGAGTGTAAACAAGGAACAACTCGTAAAAATAATAGGCCGAGTGCTTTAAGACAAAATTTAGATATTTAAACGTTTATTATTTAAGCGAATGTTTTTCTTACTTGCTTTATACATTAAATACCATTAATACATTAAATATGTACATTAATTGATAAAATAATGTTATTCGAATATAACAGTATTCATTTAACTCGTATATTATTTTATAAAAACCGTTCGCAAATACTGAGTAATCAATACAGCGAGTGGAAAATCGACAGAGAAATATTAAATATCGGCATTAAATATCGTCATCATTAAATATCGGCATGTAATTGTTTGGTTACATAATTTAACTCGTACTTTGTGACTTGTTAAACTGTTCAAAACATCGGGGATTTTAAGAAAAAATCAAAAGCTTTAAAATATGTAGAAAAAGTGCGAAAAGATTGTCGCCGCTGTGGGAATCGAACCCACGTCTTCGGCATTCGTGACCTGACGCTACAAATTAAATGCGATAAAAAATCCTTAAGCCGTATATTTTACACAAACAGTAAAAATTTAAAAATTAGTTTTTTTTATAAGTAGTTTAAGTACTTAGTACTTAGAATGTACCTATATAGTTCTTGTGAATAATAGTAATAAATATGTAAAAAGTAAAAAAAAAGTAAAGTAACAGCCTATAAATGTCCCACTGCAGGGCAAAGGCTCTCTCTACAGAGGGTATCAGGGCATAGTCCACCACGCGGCCCCACTGCGGATTGGCGGACTTCACATATTTCCGAAATATTTTTTGTTATTATTTTGAACAAATGTAGGTTTCCTCACGATTTTTTCCTTCACCGCCGAGCACGTGATAAGTCAGCACTTAAAATTGACAATTTCATTGGTGCTGGCACCGGGGATCGAACTCAGGTTGCTCGAGTAAATTGAATTAAAGGCGAGCGCCCGGACACTGAGCTATCACGGCTCAAATAATTATGTATACAGTAGAAATAGATACAGTACTTGTAAAGACTTTTTTCATGCTACACCCAAAGGGAAAATACGGAAAATGTCACTGATCATCTATCACTTATAAGTTCCGAACTTTAGTACCCTGGAGTAAAGGATACTCTCTGTGCCGAATTTCTTGAATTTGAATCCTGAACATATCGCTCTCATGTCAATGGGCCATAAAACTTTTGTGATCAGAATTTCTTACTCTAAGACTGATTTACTACTTATTGGAATAAATCAGTATAATAGAAACATTTTAGAGCCAGATCTGAAAAGAAAATTTTCAGATGAAAATAAATACATATATTTGTTCCGTTCAGAAATTTAAACCATGACCGCGACGTTACAAAGCGTACAACTTAACAACAGAGCAACCGTAACCTAAAGCCCATACTAACGAATAATAATACCACTAGGGGATACTACAAGATCTATTTATTACTTTAAGCTATTTCAATGTATAACTCAACGGACAGCATTTAAGATAGAGACGTAACTTCGCCAAAGAACCACCACTATTCGCTAATCTTACGCTCTTCTGGCTTGATACATAAGACAAATGGACAAAAGACTAATTAGAAACGATCCTACAACAAAGTAACGTCTTAACCGCAAGTGATAACTCAATAAATCGTCCGGCAGACGTCTGCTATCTATGTCCGACGCTTACAATTCCATTTTCTTTAAAAGTTTCACAACGAACGCCCCAAAGTCGGGGAAACGTCCGAGGGAATATATTTCACCCGCGGTTTGTTGTTTACGGGAACACTGTTCTCGTTGAATAGTTTTATGGTCAATAACCTTGTGAATTTCGCGAGTTAAATGTTATACATTTGAAACATTTATTAAACTATATTAAACTTTTAACTTTGTAGTGAAAATGGACGAACAGTTTTTCGCCACTTCGGGAATCGAACCCACGTCTTTGCTTAAAATACAAAAAAAAATGGAGATAAAATACGTTGAAATTTTCGTCGTGTATGGCAATCAGCCGTTTAGCTTAGTGGTTAAAGTGTCTGGACGCGAATATGGAAGATGTGAGGTCGATTCCCGCAGCGGAGTAAAACTTTTCGTCCATTTTTATACAAATGTAATCTTAAGTGAAGAGATAAGTACTACGAGAGTTAGTACATATTATAAACTTGTTTAATGAACGGTTAATAATAAGTAAATATAAAATCTTTTTAGCTATTTTAGTGGGTCAGCATTATTGACGTCATATTCAGTTAACCATTTAATTACTGAAAGGTGCTCTCAGATATAAAATTGTTTCATTTTTGAAAGATTTAAATGCTGCCCTTGACCAGTTAGTTTTAGAAAATAAATGTATATAGTGTTTTATTAGCTGAATACAATTTATAATAATTTTACTCTTTAGAACTATTCCCTGCACTCATGATGAAACTGAAAACGTAAAGATAAATTGTCAAAAACTTTTTTGCCGTTGACGGGATTCGAAACAGGCACAGTCCGGGTGTGGCTCCAGCCACTACGCTAAGCGGCCGTGTTCTCTCCGCGAGTTATCTAGATCGACAATTAATCTACATATTTTAAGTTTTATCCGAGCACAAGTATTAAAATATTATACTACAAAAATCGGCCCAGAACTTCGCCTACAAAATGTGATCAACTTCTCGTTACCGCATTAAATACACGACGATCCTCGAGTACAGAAAAAAAATTCGACAAAATAATAAAGGAATCATCGAAACCGGCGGCGCGGCCGTCTGCAGGCAATTTTCAATCTCTTTTCTATTTATGACAGTAATAAAGCGGCCGGGAAGAGTCAACAATCAATTTTGTATTTCAATTTATTCCCAACCATCCTAGTTCGGGCGGTGATAACAGAAAAAGAGAGAGCAGTTCATTGAAAACGGAAATTATTGCAAGAAGCCATCAAGTGGTGTGCGCTCGCCTTCCCGCGTCGCGTTCGCGTTTTCCCGCCACTTTGTGTTGTCGATTTTTTCGCGGGGAGCCATCGTCTCTTTGATTTGTGGGCCGTCGCGTCGACGGGGGCTATTTTTCACGCGGCACATTGCAAAGCTCGCAGCCGAGGAGCAAGTTTGGCGGGTTTGTTTTCGCGCCTCCGACGGCGTCACTTCAATTCTTTGTTTAAATCGTCTCTGTTATTTAGTGAGATTGATCACGTTTGTTGGTGCTTAGTCTGACACTATGGAGCGCTCTGTGCACATGTTTAGGACTTAACTAGTCACAGACGCTTGTGTTTTGGTGACTTTCATGTTTGTGAAACTTCTGCGTCACTAGATTTACTTCCTGCAGCAGGTTTCAATGTTTTTTTTTTAAATAACAGTAAAGAAAAAAGTAAAGTATAAGCCTATACATATACCACTGCAGGGCAAAAACCTCCTCTGTACAGAGGTTTCAGGGCATAGTCCACCACGATTCAGCTTTAATTTTAAGTGCCGTTAAAAGCGTTGATTTTTACTAAATTACTTATTGTTATAAGTTCAATAAAAGGCGACAAGAGACAATAATTAATTGAGCAATCTGAAGGGTTTTCAATAAATATATAAAGGAAATGGATTTTTGCTATTGGCAAACATCATCTGTAGTTTTGTTTACTGTTGAAATTAAAGATGGCAACGATAACAATTCTATCAGACTGCGCTCAGCCGACAATGAGGGCGAGTGGGGTTCCGAGAAATTGGGGTGATTTTTCTCCTCTTTACACGTCCGCTTCACCTGTAGCGTCAGCACAAAAAGCAGTCGATAATATATTTTAATAAAAAGTATTGTTGATTAAACCAATATTATATAATAATATGAATGCTTGAATACTTCTCATTACAGATATAAACGTTTCAAAAGTTAATATTATTGAATCTCTACTATTCTAGCATAGGTACTCAAGTTGTTATCGAAAATATAACAATGATATAATGGACATTTGTATGCCTCTAATATGAAGGTTTTCGTCGCAATTCAGGAAGTTGCTCGCGCTGAAAGACCTTTTCAAATATCCGTTCACCTTTCAGAGTAGTGGTTCTTTTCACATTACAAGGGGTCATCACGATACTCAAGTTCGAACCGACCTTTAGAGTTTTATTGCTTTAGTCTGAATGACAACATTCATTGATCTTAGTTGAGTAAAAAGTAATGTAACAGGCTATACATGTCCCACTGCTGGGCAAAGACCTCCTCTATACAGAGGGTATCAGGGCATAGTACACCACGCGGCCCCACTGCGGATTGGCGGACTTCACATATTTTCGAAATATTTTTTTTGTTATTACTTTGAAAATATGCAGGTTTCCTCACAATGTTTTCCTTCACCGCGGAGCACGTGATAAATCAGCATTTAAAATTAACAATTTCATTGCTGCCGGCACCGGTGATCGAACTCTGGTTGCTCGAGTAAATTGAATCAAAGGTGACCGCCCAAACACTGAGCCATCACGGCTCTATTTTCATTACTCAGCAGCAATGGATCAGCAAGCGGAATATATTATAAAAATTAAACTGTAATACAAACTGTCGTAATAGACAAATTCGGCATGTAAGTCCATCAAATTACTTCTGTTCTGATCCGTTCGTAAAAAAAACAGCCGTAACCGCTTACAACATGATTCAAATGTTGTGCCGACCCCACCTAGGTGGAATAAAGGCAGGAGGATGATGATAGTATAACAGTTACTTGACCTTAGGTTTTTATAAGCTTTTCATTGTATATCTTAGTTATTCTATATCACGCTATACCATGCTCTCAAAAATTTTAAGTCTCGTGCGTGCATAGATACCTATGTTCGTAACAAAGGCATCTAGTATTGTTGATGATCCAGTGCCTGTTGTTGTCCGTATGCATATGAATTCAACTTTTCCAGAAATTGAATAATCGAAAAATGTTCCCAGAACAAAACTGTTCTTAATAATTTATACCAGTTTAAATTAAAATTGTTTTTTCTTCCGGTGTATAGCTTTTAACATTTTGTGTACAATACACTATCACATATTTACAGGTTTCCCTACTTATTCTATGGTCATCTGATCTTAAGTAAATAAGCAAGGTAACACGACATCACTCTCTTATCAGATACATTAAGTAAAATTACTTAAGATAAAAAGTATCAAATATATTAATATTCTGGTTTTTTCATTCTTTAAACACCAAAATTAAAACTATATTAAGTAAGATAGTAGGGGGTATATTGAAATAAAAAAGTGTTTTATCATGAACAAGATTTTAATGAGCTACATCTTTGGTCAAATCATTGGTTGAAAATTGAACCAGACACTTTCATTTGACATTTTACACATACCTATACGTCGTGCCTTCGATATTAACATCTCTTAATGTAATTAGGAATGCATATTCTATCTAATTAAATGCGGAACTAGAAATTATCTGTGGAATACAACGATCCATTTAAAATATCGCTAAATAAACTAATTTGAACTATTTCAAATTATGCATTTTTTTTTATTTTAGTTACTTTAATAAACATTTAATTCATATTTCGCTAATCTCATAATATTTATAATATTTACCATCGTTTCATTAATCATTACATACAAATACACTAACTACTTACGTGGGTTACATTATTTACATAAATAATACAAACATTATAACAATGTTTATGGATAAACTTAACAGTAATTTACAATATATAAAAAGAAACAACAAATTTAAAGTCAGTCGGGCGAAAGAAACGTATGGCTAGGCCATAAACATATATTTATGAACGAAGTTGTAAAATAATAATTATATTTGATCGACTTTCACATCTAATTCGCTAATACATACGTAACTGAGTGTCCCTTATGGTAGAAACTAAATAAAATTTCCATAATCGTCATATTTACATAAACATTTTAGCGCTAATACAATGAATGATCGGCAGTCTTTAAACCCGCGTCTCCTACTCCGGTCGTATATAAAACCGGCTTCACACCAACATTATACAAGTTCAAATCTTAATTAAAAATTGCCCTTACGAGATCATAGTTCAAAGGGGAGGAAGTTAAAGATTTTTCATCACTCTTTACACATAGAAAGGGACACAAGTTTAGATAAATCTGAGATCAGCACCTACTCAACATTTGGCATGTTCTCGTTCACGCACAGTACGCCGCAAACACTGGAAACCGAAATTCTGGATCACTTAAGAAACCGTCACGTCACCCGTTGGCGAACACCGAAAGTTTGATCGACACTGTTCGTATTACCGACAACTGTCCGGAATGAGGCGCTCGTCACCTGTTAGCGGACACCGAATCTTTGGCCGACACTGTTCATATCACCGACAACTGTCCGAATCTTTGACCGACACTGTTCGTTATACCGACTACGGCGCTCAGTTATGGTACTTGGCGTACGGGTGGGCCGTATCTCACACGCGGTAGTCTCAGCTGGACGCCGACAAGCCCAGCGGCTTCAGGTGCGGCGGGGGCACGAACGCCGCCGGCGACGAGCCCGACATGTTGTTGTTCAAATCGCCGGAGCGGCCCCCGCCGTTCATGAGGCCCATCGCGTTGCTAGTCTGTTGGGGGGAAGAACTGTTTTAGAAAAGAGCACGATGAGTAAAGGCTTAAGGAGTAGCTTCAATCGAGTTTAAATAGAATTTAGGGCGGCGTAGGATTGAGAACTGTTATATAAAGGTTTACGAGTAGCTTTAATCGAGTTTAAATAGTATTCAAGGCAGCGTAGGATTGCAATAGTGTATGCACTTATTATCATTTAGTCGTATCGTTTTTTTTTTGTGCAACAAGGTGCCACTCGAGCCGGCACCTGATGTTAAGTGATAACGCCGCCCATGGTAATTTGCAGGGTTGCAGATAAGTTGCCACCTTTTAATATAGTGGACTCCGGACACCAACTCTCACCAGACGAAACGCAGAAATATAACACTTCACTTCACGCCGGTCCTCTGTGAGGTTACTTCCCCTGACGGACCTGCTCTTTCCTGCAACAGCGAAAACTATTGCGTGGCCCTACCACAGTTCCAGTGCACCCAGTGTCTGGGACTTAATGCTTAAAGCTTATTTATTACCGCTGTCTCTTTCATTGAAACGTTTCAGCTACTAGGATATAATTATGCCTCCATCATCGAAATCAGACATTAAAAAAGTCTTTATAAACAATTAACATATAAAGTGTAGAAAGATTAAACTATCCTTATCTTTCACATTCATACGCTATAAGTTCATTATAATACCGTACCCTCTGTACAGAGCCTTTGCACAGCAGTGGGGCATATGCAGGCTGTTGCTTTTTTACTATTGTTCATTACCACATGAAACAGTTCAAATTGACCATCCATAGAGTCCAGAAAACAACTAATCTTATACAAAATAACGTGAAGATTGTGATTACCGGAGGTGGCGAAAGATGTGTGGTCTGCCTTTTCAGATGCGACAGCGGCGGCGGGTTGTAGGCCATATTGGCGAACACCAAGCGTTCCTCGTAGTCGTATTCGCAGAGTATCTTGTTTTCGCACAGATAGAAGCGGTCACCGACGCAAAATCTGTGAACAAAACCACTGGGTTACTGCACTGTGATACACATAAAGATTCTAGTATAAGTAACCAGCTTTGGACAAACATTGATGCCAATTAAAAAAAAGATAAAGTGTCAGCCTATACATGTCCCGCTGCTGATCAAAGACCTCCTCTGTACAGAGGGTATCAGGGCATAGTCCACCACGCGGCCCTACTGCGGATTGGCGGACTTCACATATCTTAAAATTTTTTTGCTATTATTTCGAAAATATGCAGGATTCCTCACGATGTTTTTCTTCACCGCTGAGCACGTGATAATTCAGCACTTAAAATTGACAATTTCACCGGTGCTGGCTGAACTCAGATTGCTCGAGTATATTGAATTAAAGGCGAGCGCCCGGACACTGAGCTATCTCGGCTGCCAATAAACGCTAACCTTTTCATAAGTAAAACCAAATTATAAGCGTTCTATTTTAACACTCTACATAGGAGTACGTAATGTCTAATTAGCGAAAGGGTAGTGAACTATAATAATAAACTGGTATTCTTATATCAAAGTCGATAAAACAGTAATTATGCTCTGGGTAATCAGGATACTTGGAGTCTTTCTTGGAGTTTTCACGTATTCAATCCGATATTATGTGTTTTTATAAGAAAATATATTTCGAAACTCTTGTAATAGTCATTATAGTTATACATTTTTTTTAAACATTACATTTGTTTCCCAGAAAAGTATTAATAAAGTCGAACCCTATATATTTTGAGGACGCAAATTCATTATTGGTTCACACTATAAACAATGTGCCGTAATTAGTTTTAAATATATCCATTTTCCCTCGTATTTCTTCCCAATCATTCAGGCAGGTTCAACCAGGAAAGTGCCAGGGCCTCACAGAAAACCCGCGTGAAATGAAAGTATTGCTATCGCGATTCGTGTGGTGAATGAGGTAGTCAAGTTTCACTTTTTTAAAGGTTGATAACGCGTCTGCAATCCGTTAGTGGCCGTAGATGTCGAAACATCTAGTACTTTCGCACGTTATATCAAATATTCGTAACCATACTTCACCCTTACACGTCCGCACCCGTCTTTTCAAAATGAATTTGTAAATTGTTACGGAATAAACTATCTTCATTAACATTTTTCACCTACAATGCGTCCGACATTTTAACGTCAATACCGAACAAACACACGCAGACATTCACGCTTCATTATTAGTACTATGTAGCTATTCCTGTTTAGTCCAATCGTTAGTACAGCGAGAGCGCAAAATTAATTAACTTGACGGGCATTAGCGTGTGCAGACGTCCCCGCCGGACCCGACTCGGGTGCATTTGCGGGGCGCTGGAAGATCCAATTAGTGGGCCTCCACTGTTCGCCGAGTGACGCCGATACCTGCGCATTATTGGGGCTTCGCAAATCGAGTTAGCGTCGCGCCTCGCAATGCGTACAGTCGCGTACACAAAAACAGCGAAGGGAAATCAAAGAGCGCGGAACAGAATCCACTATCGCCAGTTGAAAGGTCAACGTGGGCAAGGAGCCGAGATAACGTCACGCGAGCGCGCATCCCTCGATGTTGCGAAACAAAAGGTGTCGCCTTCGACTCGCCGCTGGCCGGAACCGACCGTGATAACGCCAGCCTTATCTCCCCCACTCGGCCCCCGCCCGCGGTCTTCCACCCGCCCAACTCGGAGCAACTCTTTTGTTTAGCTCGTCACAAAAATTAAGCGCAATAGCTCCGCTACAAATGTCTCTTTTTTAACGGGCCAATTTCCACCGCAACCCAGTCGATTTCGCCGCTCTTAATTAACTTTATTTCCCGTTCTCCCGTCGTCCACCGGACTTTTGTTTTTCGGGGCTTTCGCGCGTCTTCTTTTTTTGTACGCCATCCTCCCCGTCTGCTGTCCGCGTTACGGGAAAGATGTAGAACGCAATTTTAATGACTGCGCGCAAGTTAAGCTTTGTGCGACGCGCCATTGTGGCCCGCCGACGCGACGGACGGACACCGTTTCACGTAAGCGGACGTGCCCATTGAGCGTTCCCCGTCGGCCGTAAAACAAAAATCGTCTAAAAAGCGACGGACACATCAATCGGACGAAAGGCAAATGCGCATTAAGAAAAAGCGGTGTCGCAATTCGTAAAAACTCGCTCTTACATGATGCGGCGACAGCGATTATTTATTTATTTTTTATTTATTTATACTTCATTGTTACACCTTAGGCTAAAGGCTACAATACTATATACAAAGCTCGTTCGATGTGGTAGGGCCACGCAGCAGCCTCGCTGTTGCACAAATGGGCAGGCTCGTCCGGGTACCATGACCTCACAGAAGACCGGCGTAAAGGAAGCATAATAATTTCGCGTTTCGTCTGGTAAGTGAGGTGGCCGGAGCCCAATTTTCAAAAGGTTATCAACGCATCTTGAACCCTCAGGTGTAGCAGAGGTCCATGGGCGGCGGTATTCACTTAACATCAGGTGAACCGTTTGCTCGCTTGGCATCTTTTCACATAAAAAAGATGCACCTGGCACAATAAGGCTAAGTGAAACAAGTATATTTTTATTAACAAAAAACTATACATTTCAATCACTATACATTTCTTATTTGATTTTGAAGAGTATCCCATTCATCCACGGTCCAATACTAATGAAATTAATATGGGACAACGAGGAAGCTAAGTCGAACCCAATGAAAAATTTACAATCGGTTCATAAATTACGGAGTTCTAAGGTAACAAAGATAAAAAAATGCAACTAATACAACCCAATGGAAAGCCTCGTCGTCTATTGAAGTGGGTTGATAAAATAAAATTAACAAGACTAACTCATTGATACAAAGCTACACAAACGTAATAATTTAGCCTAAACAATTATCAATTTATTAAATTTAAATAATAAAAAAAAATTTCAATGAATACTTAATGATATAAATTTGATTTAACATTTATCTTCATTTGTAGCTTACAAATATGAACAAGTATTTTTACCAAATAAGGACATTTTATGCCTTTGCTTTATATATGTACGAAACTTTGGAAATGAAATATATTCCATGGATGTGAAATTATAAATCACAATTACAAGCGCTTTAATCAGTCAAGAAATGTCATTACAGATCGCATATAAGTAGGAAATCTTAAAGGCCAAAATAGTTATCAAGACACCAGATTTCATCTTAACGTTGAGCTATCCTCTCCACCAACCGTTTTTACTACGTATTTGAAACCAATCCTGCCACATGGTCCAATCGTCAATGCCACCATCTAGACAAAGCGGCGTCGAAAAATCTAGAACCGTGTCTCGACTTATTAACGGGGCTGACGTTGGTATTACGATTGACGAAATCTGTTGCTGTTGATCAGTCGGATGATGGGTAAATAATTCAGCGGTTTAACCATACTCGCCCTTACATCCGTACCCGTACCGCAAATTGGATTCAGATTTCTGCATTCCCGCCAAATTGATTCGTACCCGATACGAGTATTTAATAGTTTCCCCGCCAAAATTTTGCAATTTGCTATGCGGCTGTTGAATTAGTCTTGCTAGTTCTTGTACAAACAACACGTCTGTTTTATTGATCAAATTGTTATTTTTTATTAAACTAAATATGCTATTCTGGAGGTAGTTAATGATGAAATAGGCTACGGGTATTTGTCTGTGTACGCGTGTAGTTCTTTATTTAAAAGCGAAAGTACGAGTGAACGCACATACACAAGAAATATACTTCTTTGTTACAAAAGAAATTATAACAAAAAAATTTATCCCCTGTGCCAGTAATCTCCGTTTTTGGAAAATACATTCCTTATATGCAATTGATAACGTTTTAATTAAATAACTTGGAATTATGGCAATAAAGGTCAAGAAGTTTTTATTGGTCGCCATGGTAATACCGCGAAGTTCATCATGTCGTTTTTTAGGTGTCGGTGTCCTCACTTAAAAAATTATCCAGCTTTCCTGCCAACGCCATTCGCACCCCGCTGGGATATCAGTCTAGAATATTCCATACACGACTGTCTCATATCGCGTTAAGAGTTCCGTAAAAGGAATCTTTTACGTACAATTGCCGCTCGACGGGCACCCGAATGAATATACAATTGGTTTGAAACTGTCGCTCGAAAGGTCCACAGGCGACGTATAAACCATTCGGAGCCGCTCCAATCTTCGCGACCTTTAAATTATTTAGCGAGCCGTGTCCAGTGAAAATTGCTCCGGTTTCCCAAATAGGAGCGGGATGCAAACTATCACCTTTATTCCTTATGGGACAGGCAGAGCTCTTACTATTTGTGCATTACTCAACGCTCAGCACGTTTAGGTTTGGAATTAAATACGTTTGAATTATCCACCTCTGTGGTAGCTTTAAGACTGACTTCTCCGTCGTGGTGCCCCGCACTCTTATTTTCATTTTAGTAACTGCCCGCTGAAGTACGTTATCATAATTTGATATAAAAATTAAGTTAGTTATGTCTCTCAGCGGGACTGGCTGAGTAGAGAAGTAGACGTCACTTCCGAGAAACAAACAAATCGTCGTCTGCATAGAAGTTGAGGTGTTAAGAGAATAATAAAAACATTCTATACGTGATGCCTTATGTACTGGAAAATTTAATCGCAATCTTTGTCTGGTCGCTCGTGCGTTGAATAAGCTATATGGACCTCACCGCAAATTCGTCTGTCACACTCGCTCTAGCGCCGTCCACGACGTGTCGTCCCGCTCGCCCAAGAAAAGTTCCTCGGCGGACCCGTATTCGATACGGCAAGGTCCCCATTCAATTTTCACGGACGCAATCGCTTGTGACAGGTGAGAAAATTAAACCGAGCCAGTGTGAGAGGTCACGGCAGTTCAAGCCATCTTAAATTATAAAACGCGCCCCGACTGAGGATCGAAAAGTAATACGCAAATCTGATACAAGAGTTGCGATCGACCAACTTTTACATAAATAAAATGAGAGGGACCTTTGTGGGCGCATCACGGAAATACTACTGGATACAATGATGTTTAATAATAAAAATGACGCATGTTCAAACTGCGCGGCGTTTAAAATTTGTTCCGCTTTAAATTATATGACATATATAAGTGAATGTGACAGATGGTATAGAACGTATGTCATGGAAAGAGATAGCAGTCTATAGAATTGCAAGCTAATTACACCAATTGGTATAATTTGAGTCCGTCTATTTCGGTGAGTTAGTGTTCTGTCTTTGTCTATAATATTCTCAATTTCGGTGCGCTAGTTTTTTATATGTAATATTTATTTAGCTATTTTTATATGTAATATGATTGACTGGATAGATTTCAATTACTTTTAAGTTTTATTTCGTATACACTTGGCACTTATCTAAAAAAATATTGTGATGTCTTCAATCTTCACTAATGCTAAGAAACAACGATTTTCAAGCACGCCTCGTTCAGTGATGTCTTTTATTGTGGCGGAAAAGACGGGCAAGCGATGTGGTTGTTAATATAATACGATTTCGCGTGTATCAACGAGTCAAACATAAATTTATTTATGGTTTGATTTTCATATACAAAGCGTTAACAAAACGAAATAAAGAGATTATGGGGCAATTTTGAAATAATCATTTAGATAATGTTTTGTTGTTGTGCTTTTGTTGTGTAATAAGCTTTGCCTACTCAAAATTACGCATTATTTGAAGTCTTGTTTGTGTTATTCCAATAACATTGACACTTATTGACAAGGCCTGTCTACAATGATGAACATTTATAAAAAAAACTGTCTAGTTCTCGAATTTCATCCCGCCAGATAGTAAACGATACGTAAATTGCTCGCCGTTTCAGTTTGTGTTAGTCCTTGTTTTTTTTTTTTTTAATTGCCCCCTTTTTAAGTTTATATCCGCGGTTTTGTTAGTCTGGGGCATTTCGAAGTAAATTAGTTAACGTTTACGAAACAAAAATTATCCGTGGAGACTTATGTATGTTTGTGCTATTGGTGTGAAAGAGGCAAAAACATTTGCTAAAATTTGCAAAATGGAATTTTTTAATATACACCTTACCTTCAACTTTTGTATGACTAACCAACGTAAAGTATCGTTAGTTCATGCAGCATTATAGTACTTAAAAAATCAACAAACATCCAAATACCTTTAGCTATTCCGGCGCAGACAATGCGCATCAATACAACTATATAGTTTATACACATTTAATGATGACTCGGCAGTTGCTAACCTATTAGCTGCGCCGCCGGGAGTCGTGGGTTCGACTCCACACGATACAAGTATTTGTGTGACCCACAGATAATTGTTGCGTATCTGGGTGTTTATTCCCAAGCAGGGTCCGGTCGTAAAAACATAGCCAACACCACACATGTTGCACTGACCTGATGAAGGGGGGGGGGGGGGGGGGGGGGGGGGCTCTCAGGCGTGATCATGGGATGATGATGATTTTGAGTTTTAATACTGACCTGTGGTTGCACTGCTGGCAGGCGAAGCATTCCAGGTGATAGACGTTGCTGCGCGCGCGCATCACCATCTCGAAAGCCGGTATCACCTTATTGCACGCGGCGCAGTACCCAGTGTTGCCGAACAACCTACCCAAATCAGAGCTGATCAAGTCCAGAGTTCTATTTTAAAGAGGGGAGAAACAAGCAAGCGGCAGTCTACTCGTATAAGCATTCGAATTTTTTACCCGAATGCGGCGAACCAAAAAAGAAGGGTTCTGCGTTTCACATGTATGTACCTACGTATGTTTGTTCCTATATTGCCTCATAACTACAAAACGACTGAAGCGAATTTTATATGATATGATGGTTTATAATATTTCATTAATTATTATATTTTTCGATCACAAATGGACTAAAAAATTTCGACTGAAGCATTGCTTCAAAGTCAAAATTTTTTATTAAATATATTTGTATATGGCTTATCATAAGATCTTATTGAAAGTCATAAAATTACCACCGGTTAAATAAACTAGACGTGTCCGGAGAAAAACGGAAAAGAGTCTGCGGTATTGTTATCATTTCGCTTCACTAGCATCTCAAATTATAATAAGCAATGCTCATACTGTATATTCTTGTCTCAGAGGGAAAGACAGACATCTATGAGTTCAATGTAAGTTTCTTACCTCAAGTAGTCCCTCTTGCAGAGGATGAGGTTGGCACGGGTATATAAGGTGTGCCCGACCTCACCCAAGCGGCAGTCGCAGCAGCCGCACTTCAGACAGTCTTCGTGCCACAGCTGGTCCAAGGCCTTCAGCAGGTAGCGCTCCGTTATCACCTTACTGCAGCCAGCACATATCTGTCATAGACAAAACGTGAAAATCAGTCTCTAAATAAACAGCAAACTAGTAATAAGCATACGAAAACCCTGTATTACGAAAGCGAGACGATTTGATTTAATCTAGTAATTGAATAGGTTGTTACACATTGAAGTTTTCAATGATTCTTGGAATCCTTTCCAAGTTACATTTTTGCTGCATTATGTTGTTGTCAATGTAATTGTAAAAGCAGACACAAATTGGAAAATATCAATAACAGATGTAGCTTCCTATCACAAAAGTTTCGAGTCAAAGCTCAAACATTTCATATCGTGGGCGCTTTACGTGTCGAGTTTTTCGATTATTTCTATGAACTACGGACGAATTCTCACCAGGCTCTTTGGCTATTTTCCATTTCTTAAAATAATCAACAGATTCTGTCCAACATTTGCAATGCAGTTTCACATCATATAGAAGTAATTATTACGGAAGATAAAAAAAAGATAGTTGACTCGGTGACGCTGTTACCAAGCTATTGGCTCTTGGACACGTATTTGTGTGGCCAACAGATAATTGTTCAGGAACTGGGTGTTTATTCCCAAGGGTTGATGTCCGGCAGGCGGCCGACCGTAAAAAACTGACCCAACACCATTAATAACAGGATTGACGTGTTATGTCGACCCTACCCAAGATGGAATAAGGGCAAGAGAAAGAGGGAGGAGAGATAAAGATAAATATATATATACACAAAAAGAGAGAGATAAACATACCTGAGGCTGAGGAGGCTGCTGTGAGGAGGTTGTCGCCGAGGGTTGCGAGCTCGCCGGCAAGGGGGAGGCCCGCGACTCCTTGGTCACGTCCATGGCTAGCATCTGGCTGCCCAACCCTGGACTGCCGCTTGCTTGCTACGGCGTCCTTCTCTCGCACTGGAGGCAAATACAAGAAGATAAGTCTACAATTTAAGGGGCCAATAATTCATTAAGTTAATCAATCATGTCAGTTTTAATATTTGGGATTGATATACAGAATTTGATATATTGCAATACAGTAGATATTTGTTATAATGTTAGACCATACTTTTTCTAAAAACTTTAATGTTAGACCATTTTTGATACATGATGATTAGTAAATCTATTTATATTTATTTATGTTTATATATACTATATAATACCAAATTATATAATATGATTAAAAAATTATATAATACCAAAACTTGAAGTAACCCTATGACAAGCTCGAGTAACGAATTCCCTACTCCGTATCTAGTGCTGAATTTCGCAAGAGTATACAACGATTAATTGATTAAAAATGTTTCAAACAAATTAAAAACCTCTCTCAACTACATTATTTTGCGCTACCAATTTCTTCGTTTCCCGTTATGCGAAGAGGCTTAATGAAGTTTCATAAAACGATAATGAACGATAATTAATCTGACACAAGTTTATCCCGTCTAAGCGTCAATAAAAATCGCTTATCGGTTAATCTGCATCGCAATCCGTCCGATCGTCTCGTATTACCGCGTTAAACGCGCAGCCGTGAAATTCGTTGCGAGTAATAAATAATTCACGGGGAAAAAATTAGCGCAACTAGTCAACCGGATAATAACGTGAAACACGACCGGAGGCTCTCGGAGTATAACAAATTGTGTACCTTAAATATCGGACAAGTCGCGATAAAAACCGTGATTCGCTCAGCGTAAAAAAAAAACAGGTCCCGTGGCAAGCGGTAAAGTCGAACACGAAACTGTCATGGTCAATTAACACTTTATATTTCGAACGCTTTTCAATTAAATTTTGGCCACGACTGTACTAACGCGTAATTATGTGAGAATTTCACTCTTACTGTCCCAATAAGCCAAAGTAAATTTCTCTTGGAAAATGTAATATGGCATACCAATTATTATGGCATTACGAAATTGCAAATATACATAGGAATATATCTAATAATAATGGCAGTCTACGGGGAGGCCTATATTCAACAGTTGACTCAAACAGGCTGAAATGATGTTGATGATAGCTCTCGTATAGCTAATAATCCCTGTTTTTAACAATTTTTTTTTCATTAGACAATTTTCATTATTATGGCGTTAACATTTTCATTATTTTGGCGTTAACATCGTTCTTTAAACCGACTAAATAAGCAGACGTTTTTAATAGTGTTCAAAAACTTCATTGTGCAATATTTTGAACTATTAGGGTTTGTTGTAAATAGAGATTACATTATAAACTGACATGGATACCAAAGTAGAACAATACAGGTCCTCAACGCCCCTTTTTATTAAGCACCGCTTAACCTGAGCAATATAACTTTTATTTTTCTTAGTCCGTTTGAGCAACTAACGTCATAAAAGACTTCGTAATAATCTCTAATTAGCTTTATTGAACCTGGTGTTGATATTATACACGTGTAATTTTTATGACGTTGGAAACTTGATGAGTTTTTATTAAGTAATTTTACAATTTCTTAGTGAGTTATTGTTATATTTCTAATAAAGAATTAATTTAAAACTATTGTTACATAATTTGGTAGCATTTTAATTTCTTCATTCATACAGATATTATTACAAAATAAATTGACAGTACTCTTTTAACCATAACGTAAAATATGCGTCTTGAATTTCTACTACTTAACTTAATTTGGTCTTAAAAGTAATCTTATTTTATTTTAAATTATTTATGTGACTAAAAGTTTGAAATGATTTTAAAGATATTTCTAATCGAAAATTTTATTAAGTACTTTTCTTCGGGTTGACTTAGTTAATTTTCACACCTTATAAGTCAGATGCGTTGACTTAAGGCCCTAAACGATTTTAAAGTGAATTTCATGGGTCAGTTTATTTATGATTTTTTTTAATGTGAGAAAGTGGCTAACGAGCTGGCGGTTCATCTGATGGTAAGTGATAACGGCCGTCCATTGAAATTAGCAACACGTAGGGTTGCAGATGCAATGCCAACAACCTTTAAGTACAGACCCAACGTCGTAGAAATCGAAGCTGTAACAATTATCACAATACAAAGACGACAACTACATACGCGTGGAGCGTATAAATTTTTAGCGTTCCACGGACTAGTTTTCCGCTAAGCGAACGGACATTAAGGGGCAACCGGCTTAAACAATACGGGGCATTGTGGGCCCCGTGACAAATTGCCCGGGTCGCTCTGGCCTGTTTTCGAGAGTGGCCCGATCGTGGCCGTAAATAATGGCCCACGGATATTGGACGGAAGCATGCACACTGCGCTTCGAATCGTGTCAGTGATTGTTTGCTCTTTCTATGGCAGGAACTAATCGGGCGTCGTGTGACGCGGTTCGAAGTGGGACCCGGCGGCGATACCAATGGGCTTGATCAGGAATTACGCGGTACCTTACAGAGGCCAAGCTTCTTACCACGTGGTCACGGTTCTGAATAAAGTTGATCTTAGTGGAAGAAGTGTAACATATATCATTTGAAAGTCTATACTAGATCATTATCAACTTCAAATTTCAGTAGAATCCAGTTCGGCCGTTGCGACGCGAAGGGACAACCGTACGCTTAAACCTTCGCATTTATAACTGCGATTTTTATGAAAACATATATGTTTACTGTGTAGTATCATTCGTAAATGATTAATCAGAACCATAATAATTTATCATTATTAATAATGTACTGAGATAAAAAGTAATATTTGGGTAAAACAAAACAATCTATAACACTACATTCATTCGTAAGGACTCATAATTCATTCATACATTCGTAAGGACTTCTCAGATCTGTAAGGAATAATTACTTTGCTCGATTTACGCAAACGCCTTACAACGCTATGTCGACACGAAATGGGTCTGATGAAGACTGATTGAAGATAGGTACTTCTACAGACTGCACTGACCTTACAAAATGACAACACGTGACACTGTTTCTTTTCTATTCATGGAAAAAAAATAAACATGTCACTGCCACGACCGAATTCCTTACGAGATGACCGAGACTTAGGCACCAAAAATATTTTTGTCAACAGACTGATTAATAAGTCAATAGTGTCTGACTCTGAACAATTTGTGTCTTAGTTAGCAAATGTTGAGAGCATACTTTTTTCCATGAATACATTATAGTATTTTAAGTCATAAATTAGACGCTCGTTTTTTCAGATCTTAACTGTACGAGTGTTCAGTTCTGTTTTACGATCCGAAATAAAGGATAAGTTGACGCCTATATTTATATCTTCTTGAAAAACTTAAAGGGGATAAAAATCAATACTAGATGTTACTATGATATATATTTGTCACTATTTCGAGCGTCGGTTAACTGAATAAACGTTGCATATCTATCATGGAAACTCGTGGAGATTTGTGTCCTAATAAACCTTGTACCTAAAAGGGGTTTGCCCAGCAATGGGACATATATCTACAGACCATCATTAACGCCAGCACAAAATAATGGGTTCCCATCGTCATCGTAGAAGAGCGGAATAACCACAGAACATGTGCGATTAAAAAAGACAATAGTGGCGCTGCAGCCGTAGGGCGGCAGGCGGAAGGGTGCCACAAAACTGCACCAGTCCCCGCCGAGCCATCGCTAGATTAAAGAACAACTTAAAGGAAAGCAATCTGCTAAATAAGTGCCGGCTCCCTCAAATCACACGGAAGTATGCTCCACTTCGGAAGAACCAAATATTTAGACGGGCAAGAAATCGGGAATCTCACTCCGATACTCACGCGTCCTTATTTAAAGCCTACCATATTGAAGGTTGCTAAAAATGTCAAAGTCGAAATTTCTTTATTAAATGTGGGCTTGTTTTGCTCTTGTTGAACGTCAAAGAACTACCATCAGTCCACTAATTTAGACCTGTCCAGAGAACAATCGGAAAGAAATTCTGCGGTCTTGTTCCCTCATTTTTTTTTATTTAATTTTAGAAAATAAATAAGAAACAGACCGTCAGTTTTTACAAACAAGTCACATCCTGTTAGCGAAGTTAAAAAAAAGTTCCGATTCAGTGTCCGCTGCAAACCCTCGACAGGAACAGTGGGACGATAGCAAAAAAAAAGTGGGAAAAGGCGATCCGAAAACTCCGTAATGGTCGACGGCTAAAATAACGTGGAGCCACATCCAGAAGTGGCGGTAGTTGGTTGAATTATTTAGCTCCTCGTCTCGTTACTTTAGCCGGTGTTTCCGCAGGTGTGGCAATCATATTGTCTCTCCCACACGCCGGTCGGGGGGAGGGCTGAAATCTCCCCAGTCGTGCCGCTTATTCTTTAATCTCGCTGATGAATTATGATTAGCAGAGTGCACTCAATCCTATTAGTGTTGTCTGTTACAAAAATGCCTTTAGGATTTGTTCCGTACGCAAAAGAAGCTACTAAATATAGTCCTTTTGAATTACGCACATAGGGGATCCGAGCCGATCTCACATTTAGTTGAGTGTCTTCTTTATCTTCCCTTTTATCTGGTTTTCCCTTTTATTCGGCAGATATATGGCAATCGTCAATATAATTAATATTAATGGACATTGAAATGTCCATCATTTCTTTGAAATTTTAAAAATAAAAACAAAATTATGTAAATTAAACTATTTCAACAGATTTGTAGCATTCATGGGCACGGAACATAGGTTATTGTGACTATGAAAGGTTGTAATAAAGCGGGAATTAAAATTAAAAATAAATGCTACATACCGTAAAAATTGTTTCATTTAGTAATGTGTAAAGAACAGTAGGTATATTCCACCTTACGACCAATTAATCAAATTTCTTTTATTATCATTTCTAAAGTCTAGAAGCATTCCTCACGATGTTTTCCTTCACCTCTGAACACGTGATAAGCCAGCACATAAAACTAAAAATAAGAATTTAATTGGTGCCGGCACCGGGACTTGAACTCTGGTAGCTCGAGTATATCAAT